TCATTAGCGACGGAGTAGTAAAAAACCGCAATTAACCTCAGTGCAGCAAATCGGGATAGATCTTCCTGACGCAATGGGCAAATTTGCTATTTTCGCTGACAAGTAAAATCTGCTAAATTAAACCTACGTGAACATGTAAAGTAACAACAGATTGTTTCCTTGACAGATTCTTGAAATTAAATCATCAAAATAGTACAACTAAAAAGTCTGTACAACATACCTAGAACAGATAAATAAAAACATTGTAGTTTAATGTTCGTCCGGACTTTGAGCCCTTGAAAGTAAGTGAACCAGCCCTTACATACGCCAACGATTGAAATTTGTTTAATTGCTATCAAATTATCACTTATTTCATTTGTGAGACGTGCTTTTGATACAAACCGAAGATCGTGATCGACCCTACACAAAACTACCGCCATTTTGTCTTCCTTGTCCTCGTTCGACAAAAACAAAAAACTCGCATATTTACTATTTGTTTAATGAGTGCATTTTTGTTTAAAAATATCAAACAAGAATAAACACTAAGTAAAATAGGAATCAACTGCTTCGTTTTATTTGAGTAAGATGGAAACCATGCGAAAACAAATGTGAAACATTACTGTCTGCTCGAGGAGAAGACACTGGGAGTCGTGTGCAAAGAGATTGTTTACAAATTAGATCACATTGGAAGTGCTTTCGGTCACGTTGTGTAGCTTCAATGTGTAAAATAGAAAATTTATATCTTGAATAAAACTGACAAACTTCCTTGCTGTTGCTGTCGGTTGTCTGCCTTATACATGGATTAAGTGTAGACGAGGGGATTCAGCTTTCCTTTTCTCTGCTCGTGGTGTCGCAATAGCGGTGAAGGTCAGTACTGGGTTGAACCGACAGCCATGGCCACTATATTTTGAATGATCATAAATAATTTTTGAATCCAATAGTAGTGATCACTGTGATTATTATATAAATTTCTTGCAAAGTCTGGAACGATCCTGAAAAAAATCGTTGATTTCCTCCTATATTCATGCTTGAAAGTAGGCCGAAGTATCCGCAGGTGAATATGAGTATCCAGATAATAAGTTAGGATCGATCAATTCACACGAATTGTTCTGTTCTGATTCATCATTGCAAAACAATGGCCTGGAAACGGCCCAGCTTGAGGGAAACAGTATCGTGGAAAGAAAGAACAGTATCAGACCAGATACCCTTAAAAGACCTGATGAGAACACTGCAGAATCGCGGGTGAAACAAAAGTTATGCGGCTGATGTCTAAGCGATGCAGGCCCGAGGAGAACACTGTACATGTAACCAGCACATTTACGAATCAAGATTGGCAGAAAGTTGTACGGCATCTGTCTTCGATTTTGTCTATTGATGAATATGACGCACAAAGTGAAATTGAACTTGCGTTCATGAAAATCGGAAAGGGTACTGGCTTTTCGTCAAACTGAAAAAATGGCCGCGTCACTCTTGTAACTGCGCATACATACTCCCCATACTCGCATACATTTGATGTTTTTAGTCGCTGTATCTGCTCAAATAACATCCATCATGATATAATAAATCATTTTATACTAAAATTCGCAAATTTGCAGACCTTCCAATGAAATATACATGTATATATATAACATGATGTATAACGAATATATAAAATTTGAATATAATCAGTCAAAGCATTTCAGAGATATGGCTCTAGAAGCCCAATCATTAAAACAAAATGGCCGCCAGTCAGCCATTTTGAATCCAATCTGAAAAATAAAATGACGTGCATCAGGAACCCGTAATGTCAAATGTATGTACCAAGTTTGAACGAAATCCATCCATAAATGCCAGAAATGCTTGATATTTGATGAGTTTTTTAGCACAAAAATGACCACCATTCGGCCATTTTGAATAGGATCATCAAACCAATATATCTGTTTATCTATGACATGATGTATAATGAATATTTTAAATTTGAATATAATCAGTCAAAACAAGTCTGAGATATGGGTCTAGAAGCCCATTCATTAAAACAAAATGGCTACCAGACAGCCATTTTGAATCCGATCTGAAAAATAAATAATGTGCATTAGGAACCTGTAATGTCTAATATATGTACCAAGTTTGAACAAAATCCATCCATAAATGCCAGAAATGCTTGATATTTGATGATTTTTTAGCACAAAAATGGCCACCATTTGGCCATTTTGAATAGGATCATTTGAACAAAATCCATCTGTAAACAGCCGAGAAATGCTTGATTTTTAGGATTTTTTAACCCAAAAATGGCCGCCATTCGGCCATCTTGAATCAGATTGTAAAACAAAATAAAGTGCATCAAGGTCTTATAATGTCTAATGTATATACCAAGTTTGAACAAAATCCATCTGTAAATAGCCAAGAAATGCTTGATTTTTAGGATTTTTTAACACAAAAATGGCCGCTATTCGGCCATCTTGAATCAGATTGTAAAACAAAATGATGTGCATCAAGATCTTATAATACCTAATGTATATACCAAGTTTGAATAAAATCCATCTGTAAATAGCCAAGAGATGCTTGATTTTTAGGATTTTTTAACACAAAAATGGTCGCCATTCGGCCATCTTGAATCAGATTGTAAAACAAAATAAAATGCATCAAGGTCTTATAATGTCTAATGTATATACCAAGTTTGAACAAAATCCATCTGTAAATAGCCAAGAAATGCTTGATTTTTAGGATTTTTTAACACAAAAATGGCCGCTATTCGGCCATCTTGAATCAGATTGTAAAACAAAATGATGTGCATCAAGATCTTATAATGTCTAATGTATATACCAAGTTTGAATAAAATCCATCTGTAAACAGCCGAGAAATGCTTGATTTTTATGATCTTTAGCACAAAAATGGCCGTCATTCGGCCATCTTGAATCAGATCATGAAACAAATTGACATGCATATGTATAATATCATGTATGATGTATGTGTGAAGTTTGATTGTGATTGGTCCAGGCATTTCTAAGATACAGATACTGCGTCCGGGGACTAATTTATGCAATAATTGACTAATTAACTTGCACCAAAATCTAATCAGCGCATCTACTCATCATATATTAGCAGTGTGCCAAATTTCATTTGAATTGAAATTTTAGATCTTGAGTTATCAGTGGAACAAATTTTAGTCACAGAGTCACAGAGTCACAGAGTAACAGAGTCACAGACACCAGTACCACATAAGCTCCGTTTCATGGGAGCTAAAAATCGGAAAAAACATGGGATCGGCTCATGGCCGTGTTTCTTTGACGGCAGTGGAACCCTGTACGTATCCGAACTGCGGTGACTTACAACTTGGTAAAGTTAAGGATCTGACTGTAAACAGTGGAGAAGACATTTGATGAAGTTTGTGTTTTTAGGACATTTTTTATTTACAGTGGAACACTGGTATGGCATAATAGGCTTGTCTGAATTTAGGAAATTATTGGATACTGTAATTCGTTTCATTGTTTGCGCAGACACTGTAAACAATGAACGTACACGTGAAAGACGTTGGACTACATGTTGATAACAGCTTTATTGAAAGTGTTGCACCAGGAAATCACACAAAACGTCCGTACCGGTAGTATTTATTGTTCACAGTTAACTTTTGTGTTATACGGAACACAGCCAGACCTGCATACAAACTTTAGGGGACACACAGTAGGTTCAGATAACTGAACATTTCGGATAATCGATGTTCTACTGTACTGTAAAAAGTTTTAATTTTACAAATTTTTCACATGTCCGTAAAAATTTAGCAGTGGTGAAAATGTCACTGGTATTCTACGACAGAGTAACAGTGACTTTCACAAATGCCATACCATCCTGGAATCGTGAGAATTTGTTAAGAGTAAAAATTAAACAGTTGACAGCCATACAAATGATACTAGCACTACTATTACCTGTTTGGTACTTCTGTTACCTAGATCTTTGGCAATCTTAGCCCATCTTTTTGCTTCCACTTCTTCAGGGGGATATTTTACAAGAAGTTCCTCAAGTCGACGCTGTTGATAAAAATAATAATAGGATGACCATTTGACTTTTACTTGATACATTTTACTTTTTACACAAAAGAAATTCATCACAACCATTAAAAACTTTTTACATAATAGCATAAAATAATAATATGTGATTTCCTGTTCACTGTCAGATCTTGTGTGAAAGGCATAGACTGAAAGTCAGTCACAAAACGATTTGATTTTGAATTTGTGTTACTTCTTTTTATAGCCTCAGAAGGGAATATAGCATTGAGATACTCTTACTTCATCAAAATTGACTTTCATCAAATGTGTATAGCACATATTAAGTGTGCTAATACCTCAAAAATTACTTTTACCAAAGTTGAATACCATGCTACGTTTTGATGACACTATGACAATTGTTTGTCCTGTTTTACATTTGATTTCCCGCATAATGGGGGATTTCGTAGTGAACAGAAAATGGTCTTTTAAAATTATAAACACATTCTGATATTCAGATTAAAATAAATTAGAGTATAAAAACATTTCTTGGCAATTTTGAGAACATGGTCTGAGTTATTTCCCCTTCCACACAGCTTTTCTTTCAACAACAACAACAACAACAACAACAACGCTAAAGTCAACTTTGGTCACCATTCACAATACAAACCAGAATTATTTTATTTTAGATTTTGTCAACAATTTTGTTCAAAACTCATAAATAGTAGAAAAGTATATCGATTTGACTTTGAGCCAAAAATAAGAATGAAACTGAAAAATTACATAAAAATATGCAAAATAACATCCAAAGGGTTATTAACTTAATTTGCATATAGCAACAAGTTTAGGATCAAAGCTTGAAACAATTGTACTAGGAAATGTAATAAAGTCATCAACAGCAATAGTTCAAATCTGACCTGTTCTTCTATTGTCCATAGTTGGTTAAATGTGGCTGGTTTACTGCTGTCACCAACTCTACCTCTTACAACCATAGTATCCTAGGAAATGAAAAAACATAGTGATACTGACACATTAATAAAACATAATTCTCCTTTAAAGCTATCCTGTCTAGTTCAAAGAATGATCTCTAACAAAATGACAGGGATGGGGGCATGAGAGGAGTGGTGGCTAAATCTAATAGACGGAGTTGGATGTAGGAGGGCAGGATGGGGCGGGTGCCTGCTGTGGTGGCTTGGCACTACAAAGTTATTTGGGAATCGCATGCAATATCACTTATCATAGGGATTCATAGAGAATGTTTATTTGTGCATAAACTGCCGACAGAATTACTATGTAATTGAGCCAATTCAATACATGTATGTGGCTTACACACAATCTTAATCAAAGAAAGCTTAGAAAGAACTCCCGTGTTCTGAGAGTATTGAAGACACATTAAAAATTAATTCAAAATGACTTGTACTTGATGGAATAGCTGAAAACAAATTATGTAAATCAGGTAACTGATATGAACAGATTTCAGTATAAAACTAATAAAGCCTGCGTAATGTAATATCTATGTACCAAGTTTCATTGAAATGTGATTAGAATAAAAAAACTGAATTATTATTAGAGAATTGGTATGAACAAATTTCAACCCAAAATTAATCAGGCCTGTTTATTGTCCTAGAGCATTTATGTACCAAATTTTATTCAAATGTGATGATCAGTAATTGAGATATCAGTGTTAATTAATTATTTAGGTGATTAATAAGCATAAATACCAAAAACTAATTGGGTCTCTGCATAGTCCTAGGTTAATGTGATGATGAATACTCTTTAAAAGTTTCATTAAAATCCAATTAGTGGTTCTTTATATATCAGTGGAACATTCATGGAAAAAAATAACTAATTATGTGAATTAGGTAATTAATATCCACAATTATTTACCCTAAAACTAATCAGGTCTCTGCACAGTCCTTAAGTAACTATGTACCAAGTTTCATTGAAATGTGATGATTGAAATATCAAAAGCTGAAAATTAATTAATTATGCAAATTATGTAATTAATATGTACTGATATTACCCTAAAAACTATCAGGTCTGTGCAGTGGCCTATGACATCTATGTACCAAGTTTTATTGAAATGTGATGATTAGTACTTGAGATATCAGTGGAAAAGCCAAACATTTATTAATCATTATGCAAATTAGGTAATTAACATTACACAGATTTTTACCCAAAATTAATCAAATCTACGCATTATTTTGGAGCATCTATGTGCCAAGTTTCATCAAAATCCAATGACTGGTTCTTTAGATATCAGTGGAATAGTCATGGAACAGCTAAAAATCAGCTAATTATCATGCAAATTAGCTAATTAATATGCATGGATTTTTACTAAAACCTAATCAAATCTGCGCATTGGCTCAGAGCATCTATGCACCAAGTTTCATCAAAAATCAATGTATGGTTCTTGAGATATCAGTGGAACAGACAGACACACATATATACACACACACACACACACACGCATACATACAGACAGACACACTAACTGCAAAGACTCTTGTTGTGTGCTTCTTCACTGTCAAAAACAGCTTGAAATAACATGTAGTGAATGCAACTATTCCAATCACTGGTTGGACACACGCACCCTCTATTAACTACAAAGTGATAGTTAGTTGGGCTGAGAGAGAAATTCTCATGTATTGTTCAGCCACCCAGAACATTCTACTCATTCTACTAGCTTGTTATGTGCTATGCCCAATAAGTGATAATTATTACATGAAACAGATATACAAGATACATAAATATACCTCACCTCATTTTTGGCTGAACCCTCATTTTCAACACTATCCGCCACACTTACATTATCTTTTTCTTCCAAAACTGAGGTAAAATGAAACACGCAGAAGGAATATTATTATGAATTTTCTATATATATATATATATATATATATATATATATATATATATATATATTTCAAAAAAATCTGACCAACGAAAATCAAACAATAAACAGTCAATATAAAAGTGAATTTAAACTTTGATGCAACCGGCTACATGCTAAAGGAAGTAAAGTACTTTTGTTTTAAAACAATATTATTGTAGCAGATGAATAATTATAGTAGCCAATTCATCAATATACATGTATGTTTATAAAATACACACATTTACAATTTATAACATAAGCTCCTCAATGAAGCTGAAGATTGTTCAAAAATATTCAAATGAAACTGATTAATTTAAGTTTCTAAGAAAACGGCAATTGTGACAAGAAACTACAGCAAAGTATTATGGGTAATATATACCATATATGGAATTTATCCTCACCTGTTTGTTTGTTAAGCTTACTTCTCAACTGATGTGATGATTCTATGGAATTACTGCCTGTTGATGTGACAGAGACGCCATATTTATCCCATGCTATATTGGGTACAGGCACCACTCTCTGCGGACACGGCAAGTTCATTTTTTCCTGAAATGCAGTCATTATGAGAAGATAAATTTAAAGACCCATACTACATGTATATTGACATGAGTCATACAGCACACATAAAACAGTAAACTTTGAAGAGGTTCAGACTGAATAAAAAAAGTGTAGACTAGAATAAAATACATGTAGACTTGCATCTAGTCTTTTGTTTGTTTTTTGGCGAAAGCCAGGCTACCGTGACAGCTGGCTATCCACAAAACAAACATGAGTTTAGTAGTACTGGTCTGGGGTTCAGAGCATGATGATTAACATTACGCCAATTTGTAAGGTATTAATTGCAAGGGAATTCTTTTGAGAGACACAAGCCTTGTTTGTTTTTCAGTATACCGATACCCAGCTTTCGTGGTAACCCAGTTTTTATACACTCACATAATATTTTATTTAGTCTGTATGCAAGTCCATAATACATGTAATTTTTATTGTTTTACGACACAAACACTTTAAGTTACAGTTTAAAAATATTCTAAGGAACGTTCACCGTGTCCCACTTAAGCTGCACTACACAAGAAAAAACAGCGAACATGACAATAAGCAATACACACTCTGCATGGTGACATGGCGAGCACCCAGACATGAAACATTAGGATAAATGCAAATTAAAATAAATATTTAAAAAATACTACCCAATACTACAATACTACCCCTAAGTGATATTGTTAGAATTAGTAAATGTAGGTAGAAGTAGTGTGACTGCAACTACTGTGCAAGGTAAAAACTGAATGACGTAGATCTACAAGAACAAGCATTTCTTGGTAGAGGTAGCTGTACAGGTAGAAACAGTGAGCCAGTCGAACCAGTACCAGTAATGGGTGCTTAATATGCTTATCGTGGGGGGAAAATTGCCCACTTAAAAGGCAAAGCTAGTGGTGACTGGGGATGGTGGAGGGTTCAAGTTGAGAAAATCAAAACACTGGACTAAGAAACTGAACTGTCCAAGATGGCTACAAACAAAAAGACTCCATCACACGAAGGCATGTGAGAACAGGCGAGATTCATATCGTGAACACTGTTTAATAAACATGTATAAAAAAAAATTGACGATGTGTGGTCATCAGTAATGTTTCAAAATCTTTGGAATAGATGAATAATTATCTTGTTTTTGATTTGGTAAAAATGTTCATTATTATTTTGTCATAATTATCATAACGTAAAAAAATAAATCAAGTACAATTCAGTGTAGTTCAAAATTCAAATTGAATACAAAATTCAATCCACCACAATTTTTTGTCGTGCATGGGTTGAACTTAAACTGTGTCTTCAAGCCAGTTATTAACCAATCAGAATGCCGGGTGGTACAGCCAAACGTATAGAGGGATTTCCGAAAAACTATTATCAGGGATGGAGATTGCAACACAGAACTGATTTTTCACTGTTCAAGTACAATCTTTTGGCATTGTTTTTGATGGAAAACAGGAAATTAGTAATTTTTGGAAAACAACATGTGCATTGAAGAAGTATTCAACACTTTTCACAGAGATAACAGCTCATTGTCAAAACAAAGGTCACCTGTTGGTCACAATAAACACTGACCTGAATTTAGGTGTGAGGAAAGACTGAAATGTTCCAAAAATTACACCTAAATTGGAATACTTACATGTACATGTATGGTATTTCAGCATTTGCAGTAAGATCCCATGACAAGCATTATTCATATGCACAAATGCCAATTTAATACTGATGTATTAAAGCGGGAGGGTAGTCACCAGTGCACACGTGGGAATTGAGTCCCAAGCAATGATAATACACTAAAACGCAAAGGCTCATGGGTAGATGCTTGTTAGTAAACAATGACACGCTATGGCCATCTGACAAATGCACAGGTGACAACTCCCCCACTTTAACATATTAAGGCATAAGATACTAACGCAAAGAATATATACCTTGCACTGTAGCCTCTGAACAAATTCAATTGGTTGACAAATTGATTTTTGTTGATTTTCAAACAACGTCTCTAGATCTTGAACGGCTTGGATACGCTGCCCTTCAAGAGTCACCAGTGTTCGAAGTAGCAGACGGTAACTTTAAATGCAATCAGAAAAGAAACATTTATCTATTAAAGACACCTTGCAACTTTTGAATTGGAATTTGCTGAAAATGTTTAGTTAAAGCTTTGAAGCAAAAGTCTACATAGGAACTGTTACAATTTGTATGTGTGCATGTGTGTGTCATCGTCCTCTCAAATTGCAGAGCAAAAATATAGATTCCCTCATTTAAAAATTCAGAAGTTGGGTTGGGGAATTTTATCGAAAAAAATGCTGTTGCTGTAGTAAAGCAAAATTCAATTCCATGATGACTGCCATTATGTACAACAATTGGGGTTGGGTTCTTTTTATTTTCCCATTCAAATTTCCCAAGTTGTTAAAGATTTGTTCTCTAATTTTGGAGAAGCTGGACAATATAGATTTATCAAAAATTATGCAGATTTATTTGAATTACCAGTATCTGAAAAGTGTTAACTCATTCTCAGAAGGAGTCACTGTCACTGATAAACTTGTGAATATTTTTTTCAAAAAAATACAAATTCAACTGCGAAATGTATGACAGTAAAGGAAACTGGCTTTAATAACGACATTTTCATGACTTTCTTGACTTTGTAGTCTTAGTTGTATGATAATGCAAAGAGGAATTACACATAATGTATCCTTGTTTGTGTATCTGCTTGACACAGGTATGGCTACAGTCAATCAAGTCATACTGTATCGGGCTTACTTATACACTGGGTTTTATTTTCACATATTCTGATGACAACAAAATGAGCTAAATTAAAATCCAGTGAATACGCAAAGTTAACATTAGAATTTATTGGTTCCTTCACAAACCAGTGAATTTAAAATCCTAGTGAATATCTCTGAAAATGTCAAATCCGCTTAAATTACATATATTTCCATGTCTTCTTTACAGTATTTTAAATCCAGTGTACAGTACATGTAACTGTTGGTTTACACATGTTTCCACTAGGTATGCTCCTCTAATAGAGCAAATACCGTAATGTTATCATTGTGACTTGTATACTTACTCTTTGTTGCCTTTGAGGGCAGCACTGTCCGATTCAAAATAGAATGGGTCATCAATGTCCGACGCATCGTACAATTTATTTGCATGTAAATCACTATCAACATCCTCCACTTCACAGTACTTTCGTTTCAATTCTTGTATTTTATTCTTTTGATCTATCGACTCCTGCGACATTGATGGTTCCTCCGTTGTTACACAACTGTCACTTTTGGACACGTCTCCTTGCAACAGATTGGTGGCATTGATCTTCACATTTGTAAGAATACCTTGATTTTTATTCACAGTTTGTACAATAGTAGCCGAGGTAACTGTTGTGGAAGTGGCACTTTTGGGACTTTTTTTTGGACTGTAGCCTTTTTTTCGGCCACGTCCCCTCGGACTAACAATCTTCGTAGGCTGGAGGGCTACTGATGAACTCTTTTTATTATCAATGGCTTCAATGTCAGTCATCGGTTTATTTCCTAAACTGGCTTTAACCACTGCTAAAGCATCAGCACCTGGAATTTTTGTGTTCTGTGCAAGTGTCTGTGACTGCTGACTCGGCAACTGTGACTGCTGACTCGGCAACTGTGACTGCTGACTCGGCAACTGTGACTGCTGACTCGGCAACTGTGACTGCTGACTCGGCAACTGAATTTCAGTTTTTGTGAGATATTCTTTATCAGCTGGTGATAGGAATACAGGAGATTCTTTTACATCAGCAGAGTTGTCACTAAGTTTACAGTCAATATTTTCTAAGTCTTTGGTATAATTTCCCTGAGTGCAATTTTTCTTTGGGGTATCTGCCCCCGAACTTTCACTGTCCAACTCCATCACTTCAACATCGGAATCCTCTTCTTCCTCTGTGTCCATAGTAACATCTTGACCTTGACGAGACACAGCAAAGTAGTCATGGTCACAACTCACAACATTTGCAGCTGATTGACAATCGGTCTTAGTAGCTTCCTCGCTGTCATCCCCAGCAGTATTATTTGAAACGTTGATATCACCACCTTTCAAAGAAGCTTGGAGTTTTGTGTCAGTACAGGAGGATGGCACAATACTGTCTTTGTTAACTTTATCATTGTCTACCTTACTGCTATCTTTAGTTTCAGCTTCCATATTTTGAAGTTTCTGTTTAAGATTAACCTTGGCATTGACAGTTGCCATGTTTGGGGGTCTCCCCCTCCCCCTCCGCGGACTACACTTTGAGGGTGATAGATTAGTTTCAGTCTTGAGAGGGATTTCCCTAGCTAATGGCTCTACTTGATTTGTTGAAGTTGACACTTCACCGCACTGTTCCCTCTGCTTTGCAGACAAACTACGAGTTCTTGGAGATTGAGTCAATGTAACAGTTTGCACTTCAACTATTGGATCAGTGGCTTTTTGTTGAGTTGTTGACTCCTTCCCATTATCTGACTCACTATTATGGCTGCCAACATAGTGAGACATTCTCCGTTTTGGAGTATCCTGATCTGTTGAAAGATCTTCATGTTTTGTGGAATTACATGAGGAGACTTCGGTTTCTGAATGACTAGTTTCCAACGTCTTGTCTCTTAATTGAATACCTACCGATTCGGTATCACCTAATTTACTGATATCAGGGCATGTTACCCCTGATTCACGAGCTTCAACGATGACATCTTCAGACTGCACATCCACAGTGTCAGTCAGATTGTCAATACTGTCATCTAAATTGGATATTTCATTACTATCTCCACCTTGAGATGTGTCATTTGGCGGTTCTGTTTTAATATCATGTATTGTGTTCCCACTTTGATCTCCCGTATCCTTATCTAACTGGCTTACTTTAGTCTCTGGTGATTTATTTACCTTACTTGAAAACGATCGTGTATGATGTGAAGAGTTCATGGTGACCATTCTTGGAGAGATACTCCTCCCTCTCCCCTTTCCCCTCCCCCGTCCTCTTGGACTTGAAAACACATTTTTTACAATATTCTCGTCTTTGCTGCTACCATTTAGTTTATTATTTATAAGTTTGTTTGGGGATTCGTCTTTTGACCGAGATCTAGTCCTTATGACTCTGCTGGAAGCTGTGTTGTCTGGGCTAACTTCACTTGTCCTTTCCTGTTCGCTTCCCCGACTAGAACTACGTCTCTTTCGTCCATCTGAGCGTCTCATTTCATTTGTAGCTTGGTCATTAAATTCCAGCAGAATCCTGAAAAAGAAAAAATTAGAGATTAAGTAACATAATTATGAATAGTGTATGAAAATTGAATGATTATTGTGTATTACATCAGCTAATTGGTTGACAATACAGCTGTGTTGCAAGCATCGTTGCTCCAGGAAGCCAGTAGATTGTTATCGGACTTGGAGGTAACATTACTTGACGCTATTGGTGGTTAGTTGTACAAAAAAAAATTTGGACTCACATTTACCACATCGGTACCACCAACATTGAAATAATTTATATAGTAATAAGTCTGAATACTTTAATCCAAAAAAAAACATGTGCATAGTTGTTTTGTGAATAATATTTTAGTGACTTAAAAGAGTAGTGGTTGTTACGGCCATATGCATTGGAGTTTTAATCAAATACACAATGCATTATGATCCATATGTGTACATGTTGTCATGTAAGCATGAGACCCATGGTGAATATACACAACTGCCATATAAGTATCATAAAGATTACATCGGTTCTGAGACAGTCAGTCTGGCTTGCAGCTTTGCTAAACACTTGTAAACTTGACGGCGCCGATTGACTGCTGCGAGGGATTCTTTATTTTATGGGGATTGTCAATATCCGGCAGTGTATGTACCGGTATTCAATAGTAATTCTTAATTTCTTGAGTATCTACATTGTATGCGATTCAAAATACCTGTTGTGTTCTAACAAAGGCATATTATTTTGAAAATCTGTGCTTTACCCTCGTCTAGTATGATTATGGATTAATCTAAATTGTTTGTGTGTGTGTGTGTGTGTGCGCGTATTGATGGAACATGCATCGTCAAGTCTAGATTGAACAAAATCTAAGCATTTTGCTTAGTTGTACTCCAATGAGTTAATTAATCATTAGTCCTGTACATACAGACGATGGGAAAATAAGTATGACATCAAATATACTAGTATAAGGTAGATCACAAGACACCAGTCATCCAAGTTGTACCCACTTACGTCTTAACAAACGTGGCTATGTTTACCTCACGACACTTACGGATACTAGAATTCAGCCAAATGCATGTCATTGAATTTCAATGCATCTTCTATTTATGTACATCAGTCCCTCCTGTGGAGGTACATGTACAGTACATGTATTGTTCTAATTTTGTTTTTAAAATATAAGTGACTGTCACAATTGGAAAACAACATTACTACAAAATCAGTACTAACTAATAATAATGACATTTTTTTTCAAGCAAGGTCACACAAGAAAACAAAACGTTTATAGAACTTTGGTGACGGTAATGGTGATGTAATATTGTGATGTGAGTTGTGTACACAGCAAACCGTATTTAGGTTTGTTTTGTTTTGGGTATCTGTACTATTGAGTTCCATACTATAGACTATACTACACTTCACCGTGAATGACATCCCGGATATGGACAACTGCGTTTAACTGTATGCACACGCATATACTGTGAATCGAATTATTCACACAATTTCAGTAAACGTTATTCAATAGTCACAAGTTCAATACCACCTAAATCAAAGAGCAAAGGCATCTGAAAGGCGCTGTAGTGCCAACAACACAAGCAGACAGGCCGAGTTCACTGCACACATAACGTGTGTGACCGACTGTGTGCGTGCAAACGTTGCCACTGCAGCGTCAACTCAAAATGTTCGGCACGAGATCGTGCATGCACGGGTATATTTTAGCCCCCCGGTTTATAATGGTCGTGCACGCAATGAACGCAAACTCACCAGGTTGCATGAAATGCGGAATTTTCGTTAATATTAAGAATCGTCAGTTATCTTTGGCCCTTGTCAGGATATTACGAGCACGAAGGCTGCCATGTTGGAACATGAAAAAAGGTCTGACGCAGAGGTGGTGTGGGTCGTTAAATGAGATACTATACCAGTTAAATAATTTAACAATGTACTTCAAAGAATTATAAACAAATTTAATTTCACGAATAAAATAATTCAGTGCACATGGTTTAAATCGATAACAGCAGAATAACACTTTGTTCATGTACTTATACACATAATGCACCTGCAACAGAATGGTTTGACCCCAAAGCCCTATCCGCGCCCACACTGCGAATATTGTATGGCAGACAGTGACGCATTGTTGATAGTGACTCAATTATTCACTGTCCTGGGCACGATTGCAGCAGGTAAAGAGAAGCTAGGATAAAATTGACAAAGATGGCGTCGCTGTTAGATTTTCCAGGAGTCGCAAATGACCAAAATATCCAAAATACCCAAGACTCTCAAGAAGATCACCACCTCATCGTGATCGAGGGTGACGCTCCTGTCAATATATGTGCAATGCCAAATATGCGAGTGAGCGTGGGACAAAATAGTGATTTTTTGGCAGGTATGTATTGTGTTTTGGATACAGATTCTCCCTTGTCGATTTTAACCGGGTAGAGGAAATTCTCCACACCTTAGTTTGTACAGCAGTTCGCAGATCCAACGATTTTAAGTGACATCGATCCCAGGTGTCATAAAGCGCCCCATTTAAAAACCAATTCAGTCACGGCAGTGATAAACGGCATTTCTAAAATATCGATGATTGGAAGGGTAAAACGCGCCGTCCATGTTTTTAACACGCCAAGGTCAAACATCAGACACAGTGCATTGTCAAATTCAGACAAGTTGTTTGAGTGTAAAATACTAATGAATACAATAGCTATCCAGAATCGCACAAAAAAAGAAAACATATAATGTAGTGGAATTCATCTTCTATTTCCTGTTTATCACACAATTTACAAATTGTGTTTTCAATGGGAGTTTTCGGTCGGGGTTGTCGGTTTCATGTGTCTACGTGATTCAATGTTCAAACATTGGTTGCCTGATCAAAATATGCTTAATTTTTTTTTTTTTTTTTTTTTTTTTTAGTTTGGTAGTTTTCCAGTTTATTAACATTAAAATTTGGTGATTGAGTTTGTTGGACAGAGGAAGTAAAGTTGAAATACCTGTAATATGATACTTTTTGACTTTATTTTCTTCAAACTTGTCATGGCCTCTTTAAATTTACTGTTTGAGCTCAATATCACATCTAGGTAATTTCTAACAACAGTTTCTTTAAAAGAAATTAATTTGTTAGTTAGTATTTTGCGTGACTTGTTAA